ACACGGTGCAAAAGAGCTCAACTTGTTCCTTGTGAAATTTCTGCTGTGCAACATTATGCAATGCTATATAAAATTGGGTGATGGAAGCCCATAAAAAGTGCCTGTAACTCTCAATACGTTCTACATCTATAGGCTTAAATAAACCCATTTTGAGGACTCCATCGCACCTACCACACATGAAATTTTTTTACAGCTACAAATTTGATAGCTCATGCTTTTGCTTTCTCACAGTATACAGCTCCTCCATGAACAGAAAGCATTTAGTGAACAGAAATGTAGACAAGCTCTAATTTTCTGTACAGTGGCAACTACATCCATTATGCATTACAGTGTCACTTTGCTCTGAAAGAGTTAACTTTCTAGCTCCTATTCTCTGCAGTGCTGCATAAACACTGCACATTATTCTTACTGAGCATGCTTCATCTTTCCTGTCTCCACAGTCTTGAGCTGTCAATCAGCTGTCAGTCCCTACCACATCAGCACAGTGCGCATCACCAGGCTGTCAGCACAGCAGCTGATGAGACTCTGCTAAGAGCTGTCAATCAAACTTGTTTCTCTTATCTGTTCGGGAAATATTTTGTCTCTAAGAAACAAAGAACCTGGGCAACAATGGATCAGAGTCTAGTATTTACTCTTTTACAGGGATAGAAGGCTCTTAACAGGAAACGAATATGTTTTATCCACAACCAGGAAAAAAAAAAAATCTGCTCCATTATGCATATTTTCTTTTTTGGTTTTGTTTAAATCCTATTTACTTCTTGAGCCAATAAATCAGGGCATAATAAATTAAAGCAAATTTCTTTTTGCTCTCACTGTAAAATGAATTTCACAGCTTTACTTCTTAGTTTCTGTTGACTATAATTCAGTGCAGTTTAAAACAGGTAGCATCTCTTTGGTTTTGGGAATCTTTCTCTGTCTTTAGGCATTGGAATGCCTGAGCTTTCTCTCCATCTCACTGTAGCCAAAAAGCCAGACTAGAGAAAACACATAATTTACACATTTGTTACATCAAAATATAACTTTATTTTCTGTTGTTTTTCTCATTAAAACTCAATTTCAGCATAGAATTTAATAACATGAGTAGGATTCATAAATAATAGCAGACCAAAAGAATAGCTGAGGAGTATAAGCAAGCATGAGAAAAACATACATTTTCAGTGGATATTTGAAAGAAGATATGGAATGCTGTACCAGAGAGGAAGAACTGCAGAAGGTAAAGCTCTCACATCTACGGAAATAAAATACTGAAGAAAGACAAAAAGAGCTGCAAAGATGGGCACAGCAGCGATTTCAGGTCTGACACAGAATCTCTTCATGAAAAGTTGAGCTAGGCTTTCAAGTGCACATCTATCCAAGGCAGAACAATGTTCTGCAAAGATAACTGGTCTAGGTCTAACAAACCTGGCAATCAAATTAATTAGCACTGGTGGATCACTGAACTAACAGACCTCTACTCTTCCCAGGGCATAAGTAAGTATCTTTACATGCTGTGCCATACAGATATACAGGCACATTTAAAGCTAGCCTGAGTATCAGTACATAGTGCTGTCTCGTGGCAAGTAAAGTAAACATAACCCAGTGACTTAAAAATCCCCACTTTGACCCATATCTATTTTTCCCTGCAAATTAAAGAATCTCAGAGCTGATAGTTGAGGAGAAACCTTGCAGATCCAACAGTGAGAGTAGCAAAGGGAAGAAAACCACTTCTCTCATTATAGAGAGGAGTGCTGTAAAACACGATAATGTGAAAGGCAGACCTAAAAATATTTGGAGGTTTTCATAAAGCTCCAGTTTGGGGCCATGAAATTAAACAAGCAGCTTCATTTTCTGAGAAAAAAAAAAAAGAAAAGAAAAAAGAGTTTACAACCCTTACAGTTTCTTGGACAGAGACGTATATTAAAAGTTAAAAGAAATGTGAGGCAAGTAAAAGTAGTATTTTTTAAAATCTTGTAACACACAAACCATGATTTACAAGCCTGATTCATGTGCTCTGAACATTGGCATTGACTGTGGGATTGGGCTGTCCAGGTAAGAGCAGAGGGCAGAGAGAGTTAGCTGGGAAACAGGCTATGGTAAGAAGCCCATGGAAAGGAAAAGTTTAAAGCAAGCAGGGAAAAGAAGCCCCAGAGGATTTAGGGACTGCAATCAAGATTGGAGAAAAGCAGAAGAGAATATGCAAGTTCCCAGCAGCCTCTCACAATGCTCTTGGGGGCTTTGAAGAAGGAACCTGGGGTAAAATACCACGCTCCTCCTCATCTCTGGCGGCTTAAGGCAAGATCTGGGTAGTGCCTGAGAACAAAGAAGGAAAAGGACTGGGAATCGCCCTAACCCAGAGAAAAATTGTGGCCATGGACAACGAAAAACTATTTGTCCTTTCCCCGCTCCCACACACAGATTTTTTTCTGGAATTCATTTGCTGCAGAAGAGAATATTTTAGTTCCCAAAAGAGGGAAATGGTTGCCCAAAGGAAATAAAATGAGGTGGCAGCCACAACCAACGTCAAATATGCAAGAAAATCTCTCAGGCTGAAGCAAGACAAAGGCAGGCAATTTTGAGCTGAATCCTGGAGCAAAAGCAAGAGGTTCTTTCATCACTTTCAACTCTATAAACAACTTCTCAAAGGATGCCTATTTCTCTTTTCTAGGACCTAATCTTGGTTCCCTCCATTACTGTTTGTGCCTGCAAGAGTAAGAACAAACAATTTGTCTTTTCTCTTCCCTTTCAACCATCTCTTCCCTTTCAGGCAGCTCCAATGTTTTCAATGCCCACGCATGCTGAAGAGCGCACAGACACTGGGCAAGGAGGCAGGTGTCTCACCAGGGACAGCACAGATAGAGAACAGGCACTTTTGTCTGATCTCTTCCAAAACTCCACATTTGATGGTGCTGCTGATCAGCATACTCCGGTTCATCTAACAGGAGCCCCAGCCCACTGGCCAGCAATTTCACCTGTTACTTGGAATAAAGGTATGGGGTGACATTATGGTCTTTGGGAGATGCTAAGACCCTCCATAGTTTTATCAGGGCACATATGCATCTTGGGTGGGCAAAATGGAAACTGCCATCAGGTCTCTGTGCTCAGCTAGGACCTGCTGCAGGTAGAAACAATTTTCTGCTAATATTTGCACCCAAAGGGCAGCAGACTGCTCTGTTCTCAACTCCTGGCATGTTTTTGCACACAAACCTCTCTGGTAGGAAGACAGAGTTGCTCTTAACACACGACCTCCACTCTGTACCCTCCCCAAGCAATGCTGGAGGTGTCCCCAAGTAGGGACTTGGACAACCTAGCACCTCCAAGGCTGCTCTCAAAATCTGCTCAAATGGCAATGGAAGTCCCAGACTTGAACAGCTCAAGCATGCTCTTTAGAGTATCACTAAACAGAAATACTGCTCCTGTCAGAAAAAATCACTAATACTGTAGTTCAGAACTACCTAACTATTTACTAATGAAGGACAGGAAGAGTGAATGAAGAGCCCTAAATGCTGAGCTTTAATTCCAGATGCTGAAGATAACAACACCAAAAGCAACAACAGTTTGTGCAGAGGTCAGAAATTAAAACCAAAGGAAAAAACCTGTGTACTAGTGGCTTCTAAAAACACGCCCACTGTAATTTGATCTTTCAATCACGCTTATCAGCAACAATGCTAAGAATCACAGTATTGCCCTGTACCAAACTGTCCCAGTTACAGATAGGACAACCATTATCAAGCATTTGTGACAACAGAAATATTTTACTCTTTGACAAATTCTTTCATATGCAGCACTGTTTTCCAGAAACACAGCTCCCTCTGATCTAACCGGACATTAATTGCTTTTTTGCTGATGTATCTGTGCCTTCTGGACTGATAACACAACTAGCAAATCTGATATCTGACAAGTTGACTCAACCTAATCAGGACAGATCAGCTGTTACCAATGTTGCTATAGGCTGTAATTTGAGGACCTTTACAGAGTTATCACTTGCTTTGAAAGGCAAGAAACTGTAATTCTGTCAACACTAATCCCAGAATGTGTGTTCAAAGTGGCTGTTATTTTTTCTCCAGGAGAAGGTAACACTTGTCAAATAAATACCTGAGATAATTGATAAAAGGAATTAGAAGTATGTGAGTGATATGCTGACGGTCAGTCACTCTCACGAAAAAGAACCTCGCAAGATTCAGAACATTAAGCAGAGAGCACAAGCTGTTACCATGAAGCAGGGGTCACTCTGAATGGAGTGAAACAATTGGCAATGCAGTTTTTCAATGTTTACTTATCCCTCTGTTGCTTAGTGCTAAAGCTGAATGAATTATTCACTTCAAACAATTTGTTCGATGATTTTTACCCCTTTTCCTGCTCAGCATATGTGGGCAACGGATACCAATCCCATTAGATTTACCCACTGCTTCACCTTCATTCAAGCTTGCATTTAGAGCTTGATTGAGAGTATTCTAGACTTCCACTGCTGTTCAGACAATATTCAGGGCAGGTCCTTAATGTGTGCAAACATCATAGATACACACAGCTGATGGAATAATGATTATCTACACCAGCAAGATTATAGCTTCTGTTGTGGTTTGGTTTTTTGGTTTTTGTGGATTTTTTTTTTTTCTGATCCCTGTTTAAATTTGGAAGCCCTTCCAGTGACAATACTGGTATTTGCTACAAAGTCCCCTTTCTGTGAACAATTTTGTCCACAAGACTCAACACTTCAATGTTTGGGGAAACCAAATTAACAAAGAGTGCAAGCACAGCCAAAGAAAATTAATTTTAAAATTCCAAAGATTACATTGTATTATTTGCCCAACTCCACTGGGAAATAATTTATTTTCATGTAATGAAAATCAGAGGAATTCCACCAAAAAAAAGGATTCCCAACCCATGCAATACTTTAATGGAACTCGATGGTCACTGAATACAAACAAGTGACTTTGTCATTGCCAGGGTTGCATCTGTCTCTTACAGATAAACTGTGTTTAGAAACTCAGGTTTAAAATTAGAACAAAAAATATCTCTCTTACTGTATCGCTTTGGTCCATCTTCCAAACAAAATGAAAGGGTTAAGGTTGCATCATCTTCAAAAAATTCAGTTGCAAAGGCATCCCACCAGAGGTTGTCACTATCCTAGGAAGCAACAGATCATTCACTTAGGAGACAAAATGAAAATATGTTCATCCTTCGTAAAAGAAATTCGACAGGATCACACATAGTTTGTGCTTCTTCACCAATGATTTTGGAGTGCAGATGTCTATATGATATTTCAAGCTAATTTTCCTAGAGAAGGTTCTAGTTCTAATTTAAGAAAAAAAGCTAAAATGTGTACTTTATTATACAATAAACTGTCTTTCATTTTATCAAGCACACTAAAAATGCAAAAATTTTCATCTCATAAATACATGTGTTTCTTTAAATATTAAAAATGATTTTATAAATCAGTTGCAAATAAAGCGATTATGACTTTTCTCCCCCTTTTCTGGGTTGTGTGTCTCAAATGCTTGGTCCTAATAATGAAAAAACCTCAGTACTTAATTCTATAATGCTACGTAACCCGATTATCAGCATGAGTTGACAAGAAAGTTATTTAGAAACTAAATATAATAGCCATTCCACTCGAATGCATTTAATATAAATACAATGTTACTGCGGTTAATTAAATACCAGGTAGTTACTTAAATGTAATTGTTGTGAGAAATCTTTACTTTTCAGTGTGATACACGAAGTGAAAACAATATTTTACGATGACCTGTGTACACTTAGATTTACAGTAATACACATAGCTGGAACACAGCGCACGATCTAAAGCGTAAACTAACACACCATCAGAGGCGCTCTGCTGGCTTTGACAATCGAACCAGGCATTGTCAGTCCTGGGTGATCAACAACAAGCACCCAAACCTCGATGCCTAGCACCTGTGCAAGCAGCCCAGCTTCCAAGGGTTTTCACGGAAGTCAAGCAACAACAGAACCCACCAATCATTTCATTCAAAAGCTATGGATATATGGAATAGCTGGATTTGAAATGTTTGGTGCAGTCTTTTCTGCTCCTTTGAAGCCCTGAGATTTAAATCACTTGCAGCACACAGGATCAGCAACAAAGCTGGAAATACACTTGTGAAGATGTCCCAGTCGCACTCCTCAGAACCAGCCTGCCCCACTCACGGCAGCTGCCTTCCCAGCGCGCAAAGCCACGTTCATTCAGCGCAGTGAGCACCAAGTACTTCTTCATGCCTGAGCAATATATAACTAAGCCAGAAAACATTTGTTACCTTCATAGGACAAAAACCTTGAGACAAAATGCCGATTTGAGGTATCCATCATATTCATTATATATACACATGTAGAGAAATAACTGTGAGTTTTTTAGCTCTGCTCCTGCTTTTCCTGCAGATGTTACTATTGGATTTCACTCCAAACTGCTGAGAGGGTAACTTTCCTGCCTCACAACTTTACTTTGATTTTCACCAAGCATCCAACGGAGAAACGCTAAGGACAGGTTTCAGCATTCCAGCTCCTAGCAGAGACCCCTAAGAGACTCTTTGGCTAGGTCAGAGCCTGTAATTCATCTTCCTCACCTCATTCCATCCAGCAGCAGCAGGACAACGAGCTGCATGGCCCTGTGGTACTTCCTTGAAATTGAGTCACACAAAGAGGTATCAAAACTGCCCCCATGTCTTAGGAATCTGCTGTCACAGAGAGGTACTGCTCTTTCCTCTTTGCTGGCGCAAACATCCACTGCCCCCTCCCTGGAGGTGTTCGAGGCCAGGTTAGATGGAGCCTTGAGTAGCCTGATCTAGTTGAGAGGCGTCCCTGCCCATGACAGGGAGGTTGGATTAGATGATCTCTGAGGTCCCTTCCAGCCTATGCCATTCTATGATTCTGTGAGTAGCCACAACAGTAAGTACAAAATAAATATACAGATGTTCAACAGAAGCCCAGCAACCAGCTTCTAGCAACACACCTTGGCGCACCGACCCTTCACTGGGCACAGCCTGGCGGGTGACGTTATAAGCCTCTATGAGAACATATTGTCCAACAAGTAATTATGGGCTACTGCTCTCTGCCATTTGCCAAAAGAGAGGCTGCAGTACCGTTTAACTAGGATCTTTCGGACATACTTGTCATAAAAGACGAGAGGAGGGAAGGATTTAAGCAATGCCACATACCACACCTGCAGCTCTTAACTCAGTAATCGAGTATCACTGGAGCTACTCATGCAACATCCAACAACACGGGAGGCAAATGTACACGGGAAAGACAGAGAAGAGCAGGGAAAGCACAGGGCCTCACCTCAAAACCACACATATTTGCACTCACTCTTGCTTCCAAGAAGTCTGAAGGCAAGGAAAACGTGGAGATGGAATTACTGTGGATTCCCTCCCTGGATAGATGAAATATCCAGATTCTGTCACAATTTGAATACTGTCCAAGGTCTTTATCTTGCGTTATTGCATATTTTACATTAGGAAGAATGAAAAACAGAAAACGCAACACCCCACCCACAAGAAAAACCCCAAGCCTTAATAGAATATATAAATCCTCTGTGAAGGTTGGACATGCTCTGCTGATTAATTCTCTGCTCCACCCTTGTCACAGGTGGTCTCAACTACTCTCACAGCCAAATGGTGAACAAAACCAAATGAGGTCTCCTCTAGCCAAGCTAAAAAAGGATCCAGTTATTACAAAAAAAAAAAAAAAAATTACTCCCTTTTTCTTGCAAAAAAGGGATGGTGAAGGCAAGGCTGCCCCCAGGCATCTTTAACTTATGCTCTGACAGGTTACGGGGGATTTTGCCAGAGTAATTATTTTTCTATTCAACAATAATGAGAAATTACCATGGCAACCTCCCTTTCACATAGTGCACTCACACGCTCAAACATTGAAATAATGGCCTAAACATAACAAAAAAAAAAAGAATACTTTAAAAATATTTTGTATTAAAATGAACTTAAAGAATGGGTCAAAGGAGAGAAGAGGGCAGAGATGGCCAGCGAGTTGGGTCAGAAGGGAAGATACCATGCTGCTGTAGCCAGCTGCCCAAGCAGCAAAATGTCTTCTGCTACAACTGTCATTGTTCCCTCTGATCTCCTCCACCCCTGGTATTATTTGTAATTTGAAGCATGGCTCAACTCTGAATAGGGTCTCCAAGTAAATGGAATCCTAGGGTTTTGATATTTTTTTCTGACTCTGATTTCTTTGGCAAATGTAATCAGATTTTAAGTACAATGATGTTCTTCCCCCTCCCTCCCTCCATCTAATAGTCCCACATGTTCACTGTGTGATCTGAGAGTCAAGCTGGGTTCTTCTTTGCACCTTACACACTTACATGATTAAGAGTCTGCAAGCCAAATGAGGCTTTCCTACTTGCTTGTGATGGTGATTGCTGAACCAAAATAGATCTTGCAACTGGAATATGAGGCCAACTGAGCCTATGGCATTTTCTCCAAATTCCTTTATTTTTGTTTAATGACTTGGAAGGCAGAATGGAGTTCATGTAAAAAGTCAGTACATGAAACCACGCTTGAGAGAGGATGCAGATACCTTGCAGGACAGAATTGGAATTCAAAATTATTTTGATAGATTGCAGAAATGATCTGAAATGAAGATGAAATTCAATAAAGTGAACTGACAAAAGCACAAATACAAAATGGGGAATAACTGGCTAAGCAGTACTGCAGAAAATGGTCCATAAAGCAAGTACGTCAGTAATCTGTTGCTCATGCAAATAAGGAATATGTCTTAGATACAATTCCCTTCCACTCCAGCAAACACATCTCTGGAAAGACTTCATCTGGGATAGTCCATCCACTTCTGGAGTACTGTGGCTAGGTCTGGGCCACACACTCTTAAAGAATTTAGCTGAGAACAACAGGAATCATTGCGTTTAAAGACACTGACTAATTTAGTGGCCTTCTACGACAAAGCTACAGCGCTGGTTGACATGGGTAAAGCAACGGATGTTGTTTTCCTGGACTTGTGCAAGGCATTTGACACTGTCCCACATGACAGCCTTGTCTCTAAAATGGAGAGACACAGATTTGACAGATGGACCACTCGGTGGATAAAGAACTGGCTGGATGGTCGCACTCAAAGTGTTGTGGTCAATGGTGCGATGTCTACATGGAGACCAGTGTCAAGTGGTGTCCCTCAGGGGTCTGTTCTGGGTCCAGTGCTGTTCAACATCTTTGTCAGTGACATGGATGACGGCATTGAGTGTACCCTCAGTAAGTATGCCGATGACACCAAGTTGTGTGGTGCCGTGGACTCACTTGAGGGAAAAGATGCCATCCAGAGGGACCTTGATAGGCTTGAGAATTGGGCCAGTGCTAACTGCATGAGCTTCAACAAGTCAAAATGCAAGGTCCTTCACCTGGGTCGGGTCAATCCTAGGCACAAATACAAACTGGGCACAGAGTGAGTTGAGAGTAGCCCTGAAGAGAAGGATTTGGGGGTGTTTATAGATGAGAAGCTCAACATGAGCCGGCAGTGCGCTCATGCAGCCCAGAAGGCCAACCACATCCTGGGATATATCAAGAGAAGCGTGGTCAGCAGGTCAAGAGAGGTGACTCTCCCTCTCTACTCTGCTCTTGTGAGACCCCACCTTGAATACTGTGTCCAGTTCTGGTGTCCCCACCATGAGAGAGAAATAGATTTGTTGGATCGTGCTTAGAGGAAGGCCACAAAGATGATCCAGGGGCTGGAGCACCTCTGCTACGAGGACAGGTTGTGGGAGCTGGGATTGTTCAGCCTTGAAAAGAGAAGATTTCGGAGGGACCTAACAGCTGCCTTCCAATACCTGAAGGGAACTTACAGGAAGGCTGGGGAGGGACTTTTTACAAGAGTGTCCACTGATAGGACAAGGGGAAATGGGTTTAAGTTGAAGGAGAACAGATTTAGATTAGATCTTAGGAAGAAATTCTTCAGTATGAGGGTGGTAAGACTTTGGAATAAATTTCCCAGAGAAGCTGTGGATGCCCCCTCCCTGGAGGTGTTTGAGGCCAGGTTGGACGGAGCCTTGAGTAGCCTGATCTAGTTGAGAGACGTCCCTGCCCATGACAGGGAGGTTGGATTAGATGATCTCTGAGGTCCCTTCCAGCCTATGCCATTCTATGATTCTATGAAACAAA